TATCTAAACTTCAATTTTTAAGTACATACCGCTAGGGCTATAAAATTAGATCATTATTTGTGAATAGTAGTTGTTCGGTTCGTAATGTAACTCATAATCGATTCTTTCGTTAGGCAAACGAGCTGAACATAAATACATTTTTAGCTTTGTTTATAAATGAACAAAACACTAATAGATGCTTGATCTGTCGTGTTTGGCTTGATTTGATTGAAATTATATATTTGTATTATTTTAAATAACTTAATTGCCTTAAAGATTTATAACTAATTAAAATTTTGTTATATTTATTTCTTTCAAAGATTACTTTAGGTAATTTTTTATTTAAAAATTTATAATTTTAATTTTTTTTTTATTTAAACAAGTCACTCTTGATCCCAATAAGAATATATATATATATATATATAAATAAGCCCTAAATATCAAATTTCCCATGCATGAAATGTGTGAATTTTTCAAAATTCAAATGGTGATATTTTTGATGTGATACAAAAAAATTGGGGTATTATGATTATGAGCAAAATATAGGTCTCAAGTAAATAGAAATGAGTTATATATATGTAAATACCCCAAAAAAAACTATGAATTGAAGATATTATTATCTTGTTAATAGAGATTATCAGGATGTCCATGAATATAGTCGCATTCATTTTATTAAAATTATCAATATAGCAGCATGGGCAGTATTTTGTTAGCAAACTTAGCCTATTTTCTATATATTTTTAAATGACATTTGATATTAGTAATATATTAATCTAAAAGAATTTAAAGAGCATTTTAAATATTTTATGGAGATGATGAACATGCCCCAAGTCTTTTCTTTTTTATTAATAAATAAAAATTATCCACACCAAATCAATGTTATCTTATTGTCCCGAAAAGTTTGAGCTCTCCCTCTCTCTATCTCTCTCTCCCTCTCTCTATCATCCCCGACCATCGTCTCAGTATGTCGAAAGTGACAGACTGAGACTCAAGCAGGCCTCCCGTCGTTGGTATTCCACCTTTTGCCATTATCTCTACAATCAACACTCCACTTTCAACACATCTGACAACTCACTTTTCATATACACAAAACACAAAACAAAAAATTTCCTTCTCATATACATAGACGACATCATCATCACCGGTAACTCTCCCAATTTCATCAACTCTTTAATTAATAACCTGAGCCAACAGTTCAACATAAAGAAATTAGGCTCCATCTCTCATGTCCTAGCAGTCGAGAGTTCAAGTACATCACACACAAAAAAGGCTAATTCATAGAGCAAACCAAATATCTTCTTGTCATCCTAAACAAAACTAGTATGCTAGAATCCAAACAGCTCTTACCCATCTACCTCTTCTTCCTCTTCCACCACCAAAAACAACACAACTTCAACAGAAGACCCTCAAACCTTCAGACAAATCATAGGCACAGAGCAATATCTCACAGTCACCCGCTCTGATATCACATGCACGGTTAATTTCCTTAGCAAACACATGCATAAACCTCTCACAAAATACACAGCTCCTCGAGCGTCTTCTGAGATATCTAAATGGCACGAGACACCACAGATTGCCCATTTTCTCAGAGGACCTGGTCTTGTGAGCATATCTAGATATGGATTGGGCCACAATCTATAAAACAAAAGATTTGTTTTAGGCTTTTGTATCTTTGTTGGCCCCAATCTCATATCACAGTCTACAAAAAAAAAAACCTCCAGTTGTAAGATCCTCCACAAAAGCGGAATACAGAGCCATGGCTTCTGTAACCACAAATGTTCTTCGGATAAGGAGACTTTCACAATAACTTCTCCAACAACAGCTTACATTCACCATTCTCCACAGTGATAACACGTCTGCAATAGCCCTAGCACAAAACACAGTCTTTCATGCAAGAACCAAACACATAAAGATGGACTAACACTTCATTCAGGATCATATCAAACATGCAAAGCATATACAAGAACATATCATGTCTCTGGACAAGATTGCAGACATTTTCACCAAATCTCTTTCAGTCACGAGTCACCAACTCCTCTTTGCAAGCTGACACTTCAATGCATGAACCCTCAGCTTGAGAGAGGGTAAGCAAACCAAATAAATCGCTGTCCTCTCGCAACCGACAAGATCCTCTACCCGGAGGAGCGACACAAGCCTCACCTCCCTCTCAACGACATCAAGCAGCAGCTCATAGCTAGGGCTCATCTCCCATCATTTTTCACTGTAGCAAAATGTCAAATACACCCTAAGGGAATTTATAAATAGAGAAGAGACATTTAGAAGAGAGTGTATGATCAAATATAATGAAATTTGAAAACACCGAATCCTATGTATGTAAATATGAAAGTTTAGGTGCGAGATTTATGTGCGCTGCGTATGTAAATTTCCCGAAACAGTATAATAAATTTTAAATGATTTACAATTAATTAAATAAATCATTAATGATACATTACATGTATCGAATCATTTTGATTGATAAAATCTAAACATACAAGTGGAACTAAGACATTAAAAAATAAATAAATGACAGTCTCTGCACCCATGTTATTTTCTTGTCATGTTCAATGAATAATCAAATTATTATAAAAATTAATGAATCACACCTAATTCTTATATTATGAGAGAGAGAGAAATAAAATTATATTACACATAATCCTTATATTATAAAACATAATCAACAATGCAAACTTGAAGATAGAAAAGAAAAGGAGGGAGGTTGAATATTCAATTATAGAGAGAGAGAGTCTATGTGCGTGTTAGTTAAGGACAACTAATTCAAGGGGTTTAAATATCTCTGTCAATCACCAACTATCTAGAAAACCAACTCATCCAATTATAGAGAGAGAGAGAGCCTATGTGCGTGTTAGTTAAAGACAACTAATTCAAGGGGTTTAAATATATCTGTCAATCACCAACTATCTAGAAAACCAACTCATTGGGTCAACCACAGAAAAACAATAAAAAATAAGTAAATAAATAAATAAAAAAAAGAAAAAAAATAGCAACAACAATAACGTCAAACATAGCAAGTAAGAAACCGTGGCCATTTTTTTCAACCAATTTAGCCGAAAAATAAGCAGAAACATCCTCCTAAATACCAATATTCAAATCCCTATACGTGGACCAATCGAACCCCTTCTCCCCCTCCTAATTGCAAATATCATCTCCTCTAATCCCCCAATCAACCAACATGCAGGAAAATAAACCATTAAATTTTACTACATCCATTCTCCTGCATCTTTCCTTCAAAAATACCATTAAAATCTTCATTAATATAGCTACACATTCCCTTCTCCCCTTGCTACAATATGATCCTCACATCAAAATCCTTATTTCCATGGCTCCTAATCGGCTCCTTCATCTTCTTCATCTTCTCCCAAAACTCTTCTTCTCCCCCATTTAGAATCAAAGAGCTCAAACAAAGATTCAATGGTATACTGCAGAAAAAACAAAGAATGAATATTGATTCATACATGAATTCTTTACCTGATGATAGCTTTGATTTGGTTCTGATCAGGCGGGTGGAAACCAGGGTGTGATATTACCAATGGAAGCTGGGTGAGAGATAATGGAAGCAGCCATGGATACACTAACCAGACATGCAAAACTTTACCAGAGTCGAAAAACTGCGGCAAGTATGGGAAGAAGGGGGATTATGAGAGGTGGATATGGCAGCCGACAAGGTGCGAGTTGCCGAGGTTCAGTGCTGTGGAATTCCTTGAAATTTCTAGAGGGAAGAGAATGGCTTTTGTTGGAGATTCGGTTGCTCGAAATCAGGCGGATTCACTCGTCTGCTTTCTCTCTGAGGTTAGGCTAATCCATTTCATATCCAATCAAAAGAACAAAACAAAAATTATATCCTTTAATGCAAGTATATTTTCGTATTTGCATGCAAGTTTTTATCCTTGTCAATGCAAGTAGATTTTCATATTTCCATCACATCATATAATGATCCGTCTCAGTATTGAAGATTACTAAAAAATTTGCATTGTCTGCCAATTACACGATCGGATATAACTCTATTGTTGGGATCATAAGTCGACACATGTAAAACCAAATACAAAAGCATTATTGAATTTAAAAATAATACTTTCCCTCTCTCCCATCGCCATTTGTAAAATTTCAAGGGCTCATCCGGTTGCTTGTAGAAAGAAATCTTGTTTTATAAAGAAATTAGTATGTTTTCATCTTATTTGTACGAAAATTCATCACATTTAAGAGGTTCTTAAAGGTGTTTGTAGAGTCCAAGATGAATAATTATGTCTTATTACATCCAACCAAATGACTGAATCTAGTAAATTCATAGAAAACTTATATTCTGACTTACGCAAATTTATGGACCCTAAGAGAAATGACCAAATAAATTAAAAATGTTTATCGTGGCAACCATACTACAGAAAATGGTGGAAGGATTTATTCAAACATTCGGAAGACACAGAATTTGAGGTCCTGTTAAAAATAAATAGGAGGAAGGTTTACATACATACAACTCAATTCTTTTGTATTTACATGTATGACACCAAAACATCAATTTTTACATGCATGCCACCTCCCCTATGCATGAAAAGGTGTATTTCACTTCTTAGAAGTTGAAATAGTGGTATTTCATGTGATATGAAAGATTTGGGTGGAATAAATGTAATAATTAAGGTTAAGGTGTTAAATATGTCAAAGAATTGGGTGGTATGTACCCCCCCCAAACCCCCCCCCCCCCCCCCCCCCCCCCCAAAAAAAAAAACTGTTTATGCAATTAAATAAACAAATATCTCCAGATGTACAACCATATCATAAAATAAAATAAAAAGAAATATTTTCAGTAATATTTAAAGTTCATAGTGGCTTGCCAACATGATAAGGGCCAGGGATACACAAAAATGATAGGACACACAAATAACATTAATCATGACTTTAAAGTTTGTGCTACAGCCAAACCATTAGTATCTAATAAAAGGAAGATTTACATACATACCACTCCATTTCTATGTATTTGCATATCTAACACCGATACTTCATCCTAACTAAAATATCAAATTAGTCCACAAAGTCCTTAAATTGGGGCTGAAATAGTCTTTCGTAGTCATTATTTCAAGAAATCTTAAAAGAAAAATGAGACTAAATTGATACTTTATACACTGAAGGACTAAAATGACCCTCCTGCAAGGAATCGGGGAATTATTTTGACACTTTCCTCCTAACTAAAATATATAAATGTTTCTATGTTCATGAAAAAAACCTCTTTACAGTGCAAAATAAGGCTCAATGCATGAAACCCCTCACAGAACTGATCCATATCACTTCCTATTACAAACCACACACAATTATTTTCCATTTAACAGTTTCTTATTCAAACAAATTGCAGACCGAGATTCCGAAACCATTCCACAAAGATCAAGAAGATAAATTTCCAATTTGGTATTTTGAATCCCATAATTTCACTCTTATGGTAATGTGGACCAAATTCCTGGTGCAAGGAACAGAAAAATTAATGAATGGATCTGGCTCTGGCGACTACGACCTTCAGTTGGACACGATGGATCGAGAATGGACCGACAGACTTCACTTCATCGACTATATAGTCATTTCTAGCGGCCATTGGTTCTCAAGAAAAATCTACTTATATGAAGGTGGAGAACTCACCAGCTGCATCTTCTGCTCTGACCAAAATGTTACAAATCATGACCCCACTATTGGCTTGCAAAAAGCCTTCAAAACCACACTACAATTCCTAGACGAAGCCAGAGAGTCTGATCAGAATATGTTCATAGTGTTGAGGACATTTTCACCGGCACACTTTGAAAACGGGACTTGGAACGATGGCGGCTACTGTAACAGGACCAGACCATTCGACGAAAGCGAACTAAGCATGACGGGGACTTACTGGGACATTCGAAACGCGCAAGTGGAGGAAGTGAATAAAATCAAAATAGCTTCAAGGAATGTGAAGAGACGGTTTGAGCTCTTGGATATCACGAAGGCAATGATGATGAGGCCTGATGCGCACCCGGATTCAAACTGGAACAATGAATGGATGAGAGGTTACAGAGATTGCGTGCATTGGTGCTTGCCAGGGGCTCTTGATATGTGGAACGATATGCTGCTGATATTGCTCAAGAAATACTCATGGGAGATGGGTAATATAGAAGCTGAGAGATCGTATAACAGATAATGTGTATCCTATTGATAATTCGATTATTGTGATCAAACTAAACAGCAATTTATGATGAAGACATGCAAATTCTTTCTGTGCAACAAGAGCATGAGGCAGATGTGATCAACAGCTAAAAGATGCAAAAGAGTTCCTCAGAACTCAGAAGCAAAGGATTTTCTTCGAGGGTTTTAGTTTATTTTTTCTGAAGACTGTGAAAGAAAAAGATCAATGTTCATTTACTTTCAGATGTGAGCATTATGTATCACTTTGATGAGAACTATCATTTGTTGATTTTTTGTATAAAATTCAAATACTGCAGGAAAGACTAGCCCATGCCATATTACTAATTAGGCATAAATCAGTTTTAATAATTACAAATGATTTAGTAGATTGGACACTGATGCAAGTATAACTTGAAATAAGCATCGAAATCTTCCAGTAAAGGTTATACTGAAATACAGATTTAATGGACAAAAGTGTTCAATAAATGGATAAAGAAAATCTCTCATTTGAAATTTTTGAAACATACAAGCCCAGAGAGAACTCTCTATCTCTCTCTGAACCCTAAAAAGCTAGAACTGGTTTGACAGCCTCAAGAAACCATCAAGAGTTGGCAACAGAAATTACCAAATTAATCGCCAACACTGATGAGAAAAAAACTCTATTGTTCTGGTTCAGAAGACTAACATAAACTGGTTGTGAAGACTAACATAAGAAGAATGGAACAAGATTACAACTTTTATCCATGCCACAAATGAAACTGCCAATGAAAGAAGTTACTCTCTCACCGGTAAAAACTCTCCGGTTCCAATCTCGAAAGTGTTGCGGAAACAAAGAACCCGCCATTAATACTCCACCGCCTCCAAATCCTCCTTTCTGAGCGCTTCCAATAGCAGCGATTTGAGCGGCAACAACCACAATAGTGCCGGCGTAGGCGTCGGAGCGATGAGTTCGGTGTGGCGGTGGCAAGGAAAGTAAAAAAATATGTATCAGTAGTCCAAAAATATTTCATTCGAACTCCAATTATATTCGTCTTGTGGTAAAAAAAAGATGTCTTTTGGCACCTGACACCTGACCTAGTCTCAATACCACCCAATGCTTCGAAAATAAAACAATGATTTCGAAGCAATCCGGATTTAGAGTTTCACAGAGTGTTTTTCATCTGTGATATTGATAGGTAGGGTTTTGAAATCTCCAAAGAAGTAGGTCGCCAGACTAGAAGTAATCGCAGTCCCTCTCTCTCTCCATATAAGTTGTGATATTTAGGTTTTTCTGAAACAACACTTGCATCCGGATTTATGGTTCATGCGAACTCACTCATGTATTTTTCATTTAGTTTTCAAGCAAGCTAACATAAAAGAATGAAAAAACCTAAGGAAAACATAAAGCGAAGGAGTCAGCAGAAAGCACTGATTAAATAAAAAATTTGGTTCTAATTGCATTCAAGAGTTTATAATTTACGATTTTGACTATATTAACCATATCACGAGCAAAACAATAGAATGCTAACATTAAACTAGCAACCATACCACCACACTAATAACATCAAAATATGATCACATTTTAATCACAATAATACCATAATACCACACTACTAACACCACTATACAACTACACTATTAACCCACATTATAGCCACTAATGACACAATAATACAACCACATTTGTATCACAATAACACCACAATGCTACACTAATGACACCACTATAAAACCACACTATTAACCACATATTACAACTACTAATAACACTACAATACAACCAAACATTGTAATACTACAGTAACAACACCATCATACATCCACACTATTAACACCACAATATGATCACACAAATAACACTACTATACAACCACATTTGTATGATAATAATTTCATATTATTACACTAACAACACAACAATACTACCATATTTGTATCACAATAACATTATAATATTGCACTAATAATATTTTAATACGACCACATTATTAACCCAACATTACAACCACACTAAAAAGACCACAATACGACCATGTTTGGTGTTATTCTAAAGTGAAATGATTTTATTGGGGTGATATTATGGCATTCTAGAGAAAATTTTTGCAATATTATGCAGCTAAGTTTGTGTTATTGGGATGGTAATGTGGTATTATTGTGTGTGTAATTTGGTGGTATTATGATTTTAATTTGGTTTTCAAATTAGGTAATCTTTTGATATCTTGATTGTGGTGTATAATGGATGTTATAATGCTTGTTTTTTAGAGTTTATATTATGTATTTTTGTGTTGATTTGTTGATATTATGGTAGCAATATGGTGTAATTATGATGTTGAATGGGTAATTTCATGGATTAATTTTTATGGTAATTTGATTGTGTAGAGGTGTTAATTTGGTGATATTATGGTGGTATCTCAGTTGTATTCCAGTTGAGTTGTAATTACAATGATAATTTGGTTCAACTTTGTGGACTTGTGGTGTTGGTGTTATTGTAAATGTAATTTGGTGGTATTTTATTGTTGATTTGGTGTTTTTTCATTTTAGTTTGAATAAAATGATCATTATGTGTTATTTTGTATGTTTTATTTTGGACATATTTTTATCTTATTAGAGTGTTAATTTGTTTGGACATAATTTGGTGTTATTTTGGACATATTTTGGTGTTATTCTATTGTTGATTTGGTGTTATTATGGTGATATATACGTTGTATCTTAAACATATTTTGGTGTTATTTAAGTTCTAAGTTGTCTAGGCATATTTTTGGTGTTAATATGTCAACATATTTTGGTGTTATTATGTTATTGAATCGGTGTTATTACGGTGATATCTACGTTGTATTTTTGGTGTTATTAAGGTGCTAATTTGGTTGTATTGTGATGGGTTTGTGGTATTGAAGTGATGATATTATGGTGTTATTCTGTTGTTGTTAATTTGGTATTGGTTTGCAATTGGTATTAGTGTTATTTTGTTGTTGCATTCGTGTTTAGGTACCAAAGTGATTTTATTATGGACACATTTGGGGTTGACAAAATGTCCTTTTTGCATTATCTTCATTTTTAAAACATTGAACCCAAGGATGTTCGAGTGTAGGTGTCAACCATCTATGGTAGGATCTATTTTTTTTTTGGTCAAACATACCATGTCTAAGGAAAATGCGAACACCCTTAAAGATTTAAATGTACTTCAATTTTTTGATCTACCTATATATTGGCAAGATAATGTCCTAACACTACACATCATCAATTGTTGGGTTATTGAATAGAGGGTACTTAGAATGGGCGAGAAGGAATGATTTTTAGACTCCAACCATGATATCTTACTGATAAGCATGCCCAATAGAGGAGAACTGGTTCACTAGGATAAAGCTCCCTCATGTGGTTTATCTACGATATAGATAAAGAATAACCTAGTTAAGGTTTCATCTGGGGAGTATTTTATGTCATTTAATAAATTATTTTTTGAGTTTTTGTTAACAATCTTATTTTTCCTTCGAGCAACTTTAGTGTGTCAAAAGGGCTTTACACTTTTGTTAGGAATGTACATTCTTTTTCTTCTTTTAATTCCCATGTTGTCGTTTGTGACTTTTTTATTGATCAAGTGAATGTCGCTGTCACAAAATTAAGGCATAATCATTCATTGGGATATATTAATGGATTTATTTTTCTGCTCAAGATTAGTACGATGTTTATACCATTTAAACTTTATTTTTTTTTTTGTCAAAGCATGTTATGATTTAAGTTTTACACTACTCTGATTTTATGAGCTTATGTCATTAGTTACTCAAGTTGCACCTTAGGTTAGGCCCGCATGTTGAGACGGCCAATAAATGGGAGTCGGAGCTCATCCTTGGTACATCAAACTTTTAAGTTGTTCAATCATGTACAATGTTTTTCTCTCATTAGATAATTTTTTTTTTTTTGGAAAATCCAATTCAAGTTTGAATTGTAATTATGGAACATTGTTGGTTTACGATTCTTTTTTGAACTTGAAAAGCAAAGAGCATGTCTTGTTTGCCCCTTCAATTAAAGAACAACCCGGTCCAGTTAAAATGCCCTGATCCATCACTAACAAAACTCATTCCACACCACAATCACCAATTTCATTTGGTGCAAGCCCTTTCATTCCAGGTGACAGTACTCCACAACCACGGTTTACAATCGTCAACAAAGGTTTTGAAGACATTATTCAATTACTAAGAACTCAAGAGAAGAAATTTTGTAAATTTCAAGAATCAATTAACAGCATTGTATGATTTACATCATACAATAATAGAGCTCAAGAGTGAAGTTATTGAAGTTAATTAACAGCAGTGTATGACTTAATAATGGCATTGGAAGTAAACTCAAGAGCTCATGAGTGAAGTTAGTTAATTCATAACTCATTGAAACTACCACCATTTTAATGTGGCATTATTGTAAAAATTGAAATATAGGTGTAAGACATGTAAATACATAGGAATTAAGTAATGTGTATGCACATAGTCCTATATTTTAATTTCATGAAGAAACCTATGTTTTCATATATAAACATTTGATTAAAATAAATGGAGGATTTATGAAATTAAATTGATATTATAGTATGTTGTAATATTTGCTCAGAAGTGAACTCGTCTAAATTGAATTCAACATTGGTTCACTCACTTTGGTTTAATCAAAATTGTGATTGGTTTGATTTTTGGGATTTTGGATTTCGATTGCAATCAGTTTGATCATTCGAACCAACCGAATGCTCCATCCCAAATAAAATATTAAAAAATTATATGAAATAAGATAAAATTTTTAAATATTGTTAATAATATAGATCTAAAACTTTGACTTTTAATATAATTTAAATATGAGCGGACAAGCTGAAGTTGAACATGCTAAACTTTGGCTTAAAAAAATACAATCTATGCACAAATATGAATAAACATAATTTTTTGTTTGTTGAATCAAGTCTACATATCAAAGTGGCTGAATCGAGCTAACCTGTCGAAGTGGTTGAATCAAGTTAACATGCAAAATAGTTGAACTGAGACTACATGCCGAAGTGGTTGAATTAAGCCCACCCGACAATCTAATTATACTCATCCACCTCAAAAAAATAGTTTAGCCCACCTATTTGGTGAACCCATCAAGACTAGTAAGGACATCTTTTAATCTCTCATTAATGACATTGATCGACATTTGAGACTCAATCTTTTCAACCAGAAGATCGAGACAGGAGTCAAACGGGCAACACCTAACACCTACATTGCGGTCTTTTCATCAAGACATTAGAAGTAAATATTGTAAAATGTCAACCGTGACTCCTCTGAAGATTCCCTTCCATATCTCTGCTTTTCTCTCTCTCTCCCTCTTTCTCTATGATGCATGCAAAATCTTTTATCAGGTTGTATGCACTCACGAACAATGCAAGCTTTAAAAATTCCCACCCATCTCAATATCTAAAGAATTCAACAACTACGATGCAAATGCAAAATCTTTTATCAAGTTGTATGCACTCACGAACAATACAAGCTTTAAAAATTCCCCACCCATCTCAATATCTAAAGAATTCAACAACTAAATTTGACTCAAGAGTCTTTTATTAAGTCTATAATCCCAGCTCGCTCATTATAAGATTAGTATATAATATGAGGAGGTTCGGTCGTATATATGTGATAGAATGCATGTGAGCTTAATCATATAGGTCGCCTATTTACTCGCTAGAAGCATCTCAATTTGATTATATATGATATTTAACAATTATATTTTAATTAAATATTAAAATAATTGGCGTTGCCGGAAGGAAAGGGGCCACCATGAAGGAAGATGAGCTGGCTCACACAAAAGATGGGTTGGATTTGAATAATTAATTAATAAAATGAATATTTACAAACATACCAAACAAAGCTTTTGTATTTACATATTCAATACACGAAAATTACAAAAAATAATTTTTATTATTATAAAAGGTTTGAATGATATTTATGTAAATATAAATTTAAGGTAGTAGATATATGAAAAATAAGAATTTTTTAAATATTAAAAAGAGAAAAATGCCGAAAATATATTAAACTATTAATTTAAAATTAAGAAAATAAAAAAAATGATGCACATGGCTCACTCATTTTAAAGAATCCTTATTATGCATTGCACGATGATATGGGCTTGTAAGGTCAGCTGTACCATCATTGTTTTTGATTTAAAAGTCCTTTATACCCCTACACGTTTTTCTACCCTATAAGAAAAATATTTATTTTATTTATTTATTATTTGCCCACTTAAGTTATAATCACAAATTCTCAGCTATCTTTTTTTATTAATTTAAATAAAAAAGTCTATCAATTTTAATAATTAAGTTTGAAACAATAGTAATAAGGATTATATTTTAAAAATCATTTCAAGTTCATATTTTTAAATATTTAAAATAAAAAATTAGTTGATATGAAAATGATATTTATGTTTAAAATATCTAATTTTTAGTTATTTATAATATTTAAAAAAAATTATAAATATAAATAATTTTATACCTAATTAAGATTTAAAATTTGAGTGCTATGTATTTAATTGCTTAAGCTATTAAAAAGTCACAGGGAGCTCGGAGTTGTTGCTGAAAAATTTCACAACAAACCCTCATTTTTCGTGCCCACAGATCTCTCCCTCATCTCTGCCTCCTCCCCTCTCCTTGATGCCTGCGCTCTCTCCTCTGATTTCTCTTTCAAAAAAGCAATCTTTCCTGTAAAACTGAACTTTAATGGGTACAACAAACCCTCAACTCCACTTGCCCTTTCCCTTTCCCCTTCCCTGCAAACAAAAACTCATCTTGACCGCCATTTATCTGCTAATCATCCCCTTATCTCTTCTAAACCTATATGTCTTCTTCCTTTCTCCTCATCCCAGAGACTTACCTCCCCCCAACCGCAATACAAGCTTTCTCTCTCAAGAACCAGTAGCTCAACCCACCACGAGCAAGGCTCAAGCCGGCGGCGGCCGTCCATGCGACTTCCACTCCCCCGACGGTCGGTGGGTTCCTGACCCTCGTCCGCCGCGGTACAACGATACTAGTTGCAAAACAATCAAGTTCGGCCAGAATTGTATGTCTCACGGTCGGCCGGACACCGGCTATCTTTACTGGCGATGGAAGCCGGCGGGCTGCCAACTCAACCCCTTCTCCGCCGCCGCTTTCCTCGACCTCCTCGTTAACAAGCATCTGGCTTTTGTAGGGGATTCTCTTGCTCGCAACCAGTTCGAATCCCTCCTCTGTTTACTCACCGCCGCCACCGGTCCAGCGGAGCTCGTCTACAACCGAGGGGAAGAGAATAAGTTCCGGCGGTGGATTTTTCGACCTCATAATGCGAGCATCTCTGTTTACTGGTCGCCGTTTCTGGTGAAAGGGATAGAGAAATCGGCGGCGGAGGGGAGGGCGCACAATCAGCTGTTTCTGGATTCGGCTGACGAAAATTGGGCGGCGGATTTGGGAGAAATGGATGTAGTGGTTTTTTCTGCGGGGCATTGGTTTCTTATCCCCGGAACCTTTTATGGGGGAGGGGGCGAAGTGGTAGGGTGTCACCATTGTAAGGATTTGGTTAATATGACGGAGACGGGCTTCTTCGATGCGTTTCGTGGGGCGGTGAGGACGGCGGTGAGGACGGCGGTGGGGAGGATGGGGAAGGGGAAGTTGGCGGTGGTGGCGACTTTTACTCCGGCTCATTTTGAAGGAGAGTGGGATAATCTGGGGGCGTGTGCGAGGAAGGAGCCGTTTGGGGAGGGGGAGAAGGAGATGGAGTATATGGATAAGGAGATGCGGAAGATTGAGCTGGAGGAGGTGGCGGCGGCGGCGGAGATTGGTGAAAGCGGTGGAGGAGGAGGAGGAGGAGGAGGAGAGGAGAAGGTAAAGTTGGAAGTTTTGGATGTGACGAGAATGGGAGAGGAGAAGGTAAAGTTGGAAGTTTTGGATGTGACGAGAATGGCGATGATGAGGCCGGACGGGCATCCTGGGCCTTACATGCATCCGAACCCATTTGAAGGTGGGGTTAAGGAAAGGGTACAGAATGATTGCCTTCATTGGTGCTTGCCGGGCCCTATTGATACATGGAATGAAATTTTGTTGGAGATGGTGAGACGGTGGAGATTGGAGCTTAGATTGAATTAATTTCCTTTTTATACAAGCTTTATGTTTTCCTTATCTCATGTACTCGATTAATTAACAATATTTTCATCATTATTTTTAATTACAATGTGCTTGAACATTTTCTTTTGAATATTTATTTGTAGTTTCTTTGGGGAAGCTAGAAATTTTGTGGCGGCAAAGTATCGAATTATCCTATGAGCATTGTACTAGAATTCAACACACACTCAGATCAAAAAAGATAAATAGTAATCACTTCAGAAATTTTTACGTGTAAAATCTTGAAATAATTTTTAAAATAATTTGGGTAATTACGAGTATAATTCCCTGTTTCACAAACGGGAGAGTACACAGTTTCTTGAGTTACATCGTCGATGTGTGGAATAGCTCACTATCTCACGGTAGCGAACGGTCACAACGAGAGTAACTATTGAAGTTTTAGTGCACCGTCTTTGGGGTTGGCACCACAATCAAGATGATGTGTCGCTTCATGAGTTGTTTCGTGACTTTACGTCGATAGTTACTTCACACAATGTTTCATCACAAGAAATGAGCGATAACTGATGATGGTTAGAGGTTGTAGGAGCTGGAGGTGTTCCCTTGATCGTCGAAACAGAATCCAAAATTTTAGTTATCTCTTCTCCATGCTCTAGCCTTTCTCTTGCTATGATCTAGTCCCTTGCTCAAGAGGATGGTAGGGTTGTATTTATAAAATTCAGGTTACAATTAAGGAAGAAATCTAGATCACTCTGGTGAAACGACTCAAAGAGATCCCCTTGATCAAAAGAAATTCGATGAATATTTGAGTATTTTAATGATGTCGAAATTGAGTTAAGCTCTTTGAATTTGTCTTGTCGAGACCCTCAATTTGACTTTAGGTTTGTCATATTCAAAATTCATTTGACCTTCTAATTTTGTCTGGAAAGTTTCTAAAGTTGGCTTGACGGCTTGATCCAGGCTTGATTTAACTCAGCTTTGACCAATTTTGATATCGTCGAGTTCATCTCATCGCCCGAGTCAGTTTTACTATAAGTTTACTGAAATCAAAGTTCTCTATAACTCTTAATCAAATTTGAAATATTTCTTATTAAAAAGTTATTTATCTCGAGATTCGTGTTGATGAAAATATGTTGATAAAGTAATACTTCTAAAAATAATTGTAAAATAACGAAGAAATTAATTTTTACAAAAAAATTATTATGACTATTATAGATATTTTGTTAATAAAAAATAGGTCATTTTTTTGCCAATATAAAAATAAAAAAGAAAATGATAAAAAAGTAACAACCAAATAGAGAAGTTTTTACGTGCGAAGTCAGCACATACGGACCTCTGCTTTCGTCAGATGCACTCAACCAAATATGAGGAGTGGAAGAAGTAGGTTACAAATGAATTGGTTTGAAACTTGAGCCGTAAGAATACTCATCTTCCTGCAGTTCCAGTACAGGGCATGCCAAAGATGGACGAATGCCTATTCTAATAGAATGTGTTTTTAGAACGACAATGTCTATCAGCTTCCTCTCCATTCGTGTACCAATAGAAGTTTCGAGGAATGAGGTTGAAGCTCCCCAATCCCAGGATACAGACACGGGTGCAAAGAACCCCGCGTGGATGGGACGCCGGTGCTGGAAGGCTCCCGCTCGAGCTGGAGCAACGGACCGACCCTGACCGGTCCAAAGGGTTCTCGAGCAGAGCGGCCAGGGCGAGCACATATCAATTTAAATTTTTGAACAAATAAATTATTCAGGCCATGGTCCTAGCTCTTCCAGATTTTAATCAAGTGTTCAAGATGGAATGTGATCCCTTCAACAAGAGAGTTGGAGCTATGTTGAGTCAAGGCAGGAAAGCATTCTACCAATGATAATGAGTTCTAGTGCCCATAGTCAATGAAGTCATTATCTGTGGGCAAACGATTTTACTATGCACACCGACATAACGGCTTGATATTCTTAAACATATAGAGTAAGCTATAAGGCAGACACGTCTCATTGGTAAAATTCCTTTCTTCTTTTTATTTTAGGCTCAAGCATAAGATGGGGAGTCGGATCAAATCAACGGATACCTAAGTTATCGTAACTTGTTGATCACTACTATGCAGTCGAAGGTTATTGGGCGTGAATTGTTAAAGAATATCCACATCACTGACGAGGATTTCAAAGAGATTTTGGATCGTTGTCAGCACAGGTCATATAAGTACTTTCATAGGTCAGATGGCAACATGCTCTGCCATAATATATTGTGCATCCCCAAAAGTTCACTCAAATAGGCAAGCTTACAAGAGAGTCACAGTAGAGATATGTCATGACACTTTGGCAAGGAAAAGACTATTTCTTCAGTAAAAGTAAATCTCTATTACCCCGTATTGATACTAAATGCAGATAGAAATGTAAGACGGTGTAGGGTATATCACTTAGCTAAGACTAAATGACATAATATACGCTTATACACTCCCCTTACCGTTCCATAGGCACCTTAATTGTGAGCAGAAACTTTATGATGAGTTTGTCATGGTTACAACAAAGTAAAGATTCTATTATGGTACTGGCAAAGAGGTTCTCCGAGATGGCACATTTTATTCATTGCCACAAGACGATGGACGTATTGTGCATTGCAGTCTTCTACTTTAGAGAAATAGTTCCCCTATATGGTGTACCTAGGGTCATCACTTCATATAAGAAAATAATTTTTTTGAGCCACTTTCAAAGAACTATATGGGGTACGTTAATTGCAAAGCTTCAGTTTAGTTGAGTTCAACAGCAAAACACCCACAGACGACTAGTTAGATAAAGCCATAGCGGTAGTGAATTCCAATTAAGAAAACCTCCTCAGGTGTTTTGAGGGAAAGAACATCAACTAGTGGAATTTAATTTTCTTGTAGGTTAAGTGCCTACAAAAAGTCAACTAGTCAGTCCACAAATCACAGCCATTTTAGAGTATATACAGGCAAAATCCTCTAACTCCATTAGAGTTAATGCTGATGCTTCCAGCTGACAAGCTTATAACACGGATGAAGATGTTAGAGACACAGAGATTTAGACCTTACATGAACATGTGAGGGCAGAAATTGCAAAACAAAATACTAAAATATCAAATGAAAAAAATAAGTTTAGGAAAGTTCGGGTCTTTAAAGAATGTGACTTAGTATGGATCATATTGAAGAAAGAGAGATTTAATGTAGTTTCTTTGGGAAACTCAAAGAAGCCTTAGAGTTGATAGTCCATTCAGAATCACCATGAGGATCAATATTAGTGCTTTAAAGATTGATTTACCAAAGGAGTACAAGATTTCTGTCACAGTTAACGTCAATGACTTGTTACTGTACAACAAGGATCCGAATGCTTCCAATGAAAAAGATGAAGCCACTTCTACTGGGGGAGAGTGATGCGAGAGCGATTCCGCAATCCTGCAATACCCACTTACACGGGATAGGAATCGAGATGGGGAGAGAATCCTGTCACGTGAAAACCAAAGTGAAAATTTCCAACCTCGAGACAGTTGTCGGGCCTGTGAAATAGAATTAGGGTTATTTTGAGGGAAAACTATTCATAAGTTGTTACTTTTCAAGTTTTAGACTTTTAGCTTTGATTTGATAACGGTAAAGATTTGTTTCTCTAAAATTCTCCTATTAGGAAAGTTGAATCCTTTTCTTCAAGTGGTGAGTGTTGTACCTTGGATAAAAAGACAAGTGGTGGAGCCTTTCCTCATCTGCACTTCGCGACCCAAGTTTCTTGCTATTTTTAGTCTGGACAGGTACAAACTCCCTCAAACCCAATCCAAACTCTGCCGACATCACATATTACCATTCTCTAGCTATTCCACAACCCCTCTCCACTAAATCAGATCCTCATCAATCGACCTTCTCACCTTCTTTGTAATAGTAGACCATCATCACTTAGATGAAACCTAACTTTAATGCTATATAAGAAACACGCAAGTATAATTGAAATAAGAAGAAAATTGGAATAATCTAATTATATTTATTTGACCAAAATACGGTGCAATTTATAAAGTTTTATAAGCAAAAAAAACAAAAGCTACATCAAGCCATAATAAGAAATGGAACAAAAAAGTCTGCAGCAATTGAATTCAAAAAGTACCAATTATTCAAAATATAATCACAAGAAGAGAAATAGACAGCCCAACAACAGTTGTCCATCATAATCTACAATATCCAAACCAGACGGATAAGCAATCTAGGCATTGTCTAGCCTCAAAGACTCCAACCTTATCCACTTAATGCATAGTTGCCCTTCCACACATGGTTACCTCATTATCTATAACAAGACAAAATTTCTACCCCTGGGAGACCCGCCAGCACACCAGACCTCAATAGATGCAAACTTATATAGTAAGGGAACATTTCTTTTCTAATTCAAGGAGAAATGACTGAAAAATTCAACAGTACTTTAAGGCAGCAGCAAGAACAGACTGAAGGCTGGGAGGGCCTGCTGAGCCTTTCCCATTTAAAGCTGTCTTTCCAAGCCTAAACCACAAAAAACCCAGCCTTCAAATTAATCAGATCTGTCTAAAAGCATTGGCTTAGAAAAATATCCTAAAGAACACTTGAAATTTAGTTATGCAAGTATAGGACTAATTTATTTTTTAAAGTAATTAATACAGTTACAATAAATAACACAAAATGAAAGAGATGATATTTTCATAGAAGAAAAACAGTCTATGCGTTATATTTACCATTTGGCCACACATGAGCGGCAATATCGCTTGATCTTACAATTAGAGCAAACAACA